AGATTGGAGACGAGAGGAACTTTCTGACTGTGAGAGTGGTCAAGCACTGGAACAGGCTACCTAGAGAACTTTATGGAATCTCCATCCTTGGAAGTTTTCAAGAGCAGGTTGGAAAGACACTTGGCTGGGATGTTTAGTCAGGGATGATCCTACCTTGAGCAGATGGCTGGACTAGATGATCTTGTGAGGTCCCTTCCAGCCTTATTTCCCTGGATCCTATAAATCCCACCCACTATTCAATTCCTAACAATAATGCTTTTAGAGGGTGGATCCACCTAAGTCTCTGAATAAGATACTGCATCAAGTATTCTGAGATCAGGAGTGGCAATGTAATCTCAAAGCTGTCAAAGTTCAGAAACAGTGGACTTGCTCTAGCTCTTGTTTTCTGTTCTATAAAAGAGCTGAATGTCCCTCAGATCTAGCCCTCTGGGTCTTTCTACTACATGGAGCACCACCTAGCACCAGCTGAGGTCTTTGGTCTGCCGGCCACTGAACAGGTCTGCTGTTGCAAGCTTCCTGCACTTTTGTTCTCCTGGTTCCTGACCCTGGTTTTTGGCTTATTTGTGGACTTTGGTTGGGGTTCTGTTTCCTGGCTCATGACCCTGGTTTGGCTCTGACTTAGCCCTGTGGATTGGTACTTGGCATCTGATCCCTGAATCCTGACACTGGATTGTGTTATGGACTCTGCTTCTGGATTTTCTTCTGGCTTTGGTATATGGTTCCTGCCCTTTGACCCAGCTCCAGCCCCAGCCCCAGGTCCTGCTTTCCCTTGGTGACCTAACATTAGGAAAGACTGCCTACACCTCAATCCGTTACAGGGAAGGGAGGGGAGATATAGGGAGGTGTACTTTCCCCAGCCCTGCTCATTGGTCAAAGAAGTTGACTGAACTGGAGATTTTGCATCAGTAGTTGTTTGATCCATTCCTTTTTATTGGCTTTACTTAGTATAGATCTGATTGATTTATTTTATTAGGAAAGGAAGATGCAACAGTAGCCGTTGGATTGTGTTTGACAGATCGGATGATTGAAGCCAGTAGGTTAAGTTCTGTTTAGCTGTCTCTCACCAGCACCCCTGAATCATACTACTCTTGTATGTAGCCTTACCAAAGTGCACATTGTATCTGTCTGAAGACTTAATCCTACTCTTAAGAGTCCGAAGTCAACAGCTGCTCACAATACTGCATTGCTAAAAGCTTCCTGTTAGACATACAGTGTGCCACTAAAATATATCCTGAGAGGCTTAACAATAATATATGCATTTTGTGGTCATCCTTAATGATTTATCTGACTTCTGTCATTGTCTTTCTCTTGTTGGATAGAATGAGGTTATTGTGTGGGGGTTTTTAATAAATCATATACTTCTCACATTACCTATGACAGTCAGGCAGGCCAGTATGCAGAATTTACAGAAAACATAAAAAGAACAGCAAAAGCATCTGGGAGCAAGAAGCTTTAAAGGCTAGCAATATCTGTGGCACTAATTTGGAAGTGATTCTATTTAGTCTGGCATGCTTTTTGTTCCCAAGGCTGATAGTACAGAATCAAAAGGGATCCTAAACTTTAAAATGTTGGCCTCAGGAAAGAGGAGTGAAAAGGTTGTCAATGGACTGAGGCTGACAGTCCAGGTGACTGACACACTGGTATAGAGAAACCATGATACTAACAGAACAGTATGCTTCTCCCTGCCAAGGGACTTAGCTGTGCTGAGGGGACCTGACTAAAGATTGCTAAAATATTTTTTTTTTTAAATGGGGAAGGTGAAATACATGTATAGAACTTTGTTCTTTTTTCCCTTTACTCTGCATGCCTTGTATCTTTGAGTGATAAGTAGTAATGATTTACTTAAAGGAAATCTATAAGATTCAACATACCTTATCTTCTGCCTGACATCAGAGTAGCACAGCTAGCTATCTCTCTGCTCATGGATTGCACCATCCTCAGCTCTGAAATGGTCTTCTGTCAATCTACACAAAAAACTTGCTCATGTGCACTCAGATATCTTCTTCCTAATCAGATGCAAGCAGGTGAATATCATACCCAAGGAATTCAAGGTGACTAATCCACTCTATACTAAACCATATATCATACAGCCTATTCTGACAAGCTATGTTTTAATCACTTTGAGAATTTGAGGGAACCAGCTTATCAGTGTTGTATACAGAAAACATGAACAAATCAACACCAGACTCACAGAACTGACAAAGATCAGTGTGATACACCCTGCCCCTGGATGCAGTTTGGTATTCCTTTGTGACACTTTTCAGGTGTTTCCAACCATTGAAATGCCCTTCTGCATCAAGTTTGCTTGACCACTAAGAATCAGATGAGAGGCCAAGGGGCAAGTCCTTTGTCTGTGGCACCTCAGTCTTTCCCTCTTGCCCAAATCCAGCTAGCTCTCAGCAGATGGGATTTTGCCAGCTTAGATTAATCACCCTCTCCTTTTGGTCACGCGCTCAGAAAAGATAAACCTTGCCCGTATAGTCAAATGATCACAGTTAACACTGACAGTAACTGAGTTGCAACAGATAACAAAAAGGGTTATTATAAAAAAAAAAAAAAAAAAAAAGTAACCATATGTTGAGATGCAGGAAGAGATATAAGAATAAACAGACAAAAGAAAATAGCACAACACCAATTTGATCTTACCCTGCACCTTAAATCCAAGGACACAGTTTCTGCTCATCACTGTAGCTGAGGGACTCTAGCGTTGTCCTGTGCCCAGCAAAGTTGTAGACAACCACTTTCTCTCACAGCATAGCTTAAATGCTTGTCTTTATCTACCAATTCTATTCTTCTATAGACTTCTTGAAGTTTAAATATTTTGTGTATATAACCTCCTGCCCCTCTAATGTATAACCCTTTGACTAATGAGGCAACTTACTGACATATATAAGTGGAAGAGTATTTACATCCTTTTAGATATAAAGATTCTCTAGTTTTAATCAAATACTATCTGGGTAGACGGTTATCACCTTTAAAAAGCAATTCCCCTGCCTGGGTCAGGGCTTGACACATCATCTCAGAACTCAGTCTGCATAGCTATGTGAATGTATGTTCTCAGATCTAACTATCCCAACCATTTGGGTTTTGCTCCTTTAGCAGTGAATCACCTTTTTGCCCCTCCTGAAGACTGATCCAGCTTCTTGGACAGGCTACCTATAAGGATATATAATTGCTTCCATATCAACTTCATAACTTATCCAAACATCCAGATAACTTGTACCTAAATTTGTTATCTTTAGCTGTTTAGGGACACCAAACACACTATATCAGAGTGTCTCTTTGGAGAATCCTGCCTCTGGTTTCTTCAGGGCACGCTACATGAGCATGCCTTGCCCCACTTTTTTTCTGTGGGGAGGGGCGGGGAGTTGATACCTGGATTTTTAGGTATCATATTTAGAAACTATGCTGGGAACATTTTTTTCTCCCCAGCATGTCTCTTGCAGCATCTCAAACTGCTTTGAGACACCACAAGAGGCACATGCGTGCTCGTCTGGATGTGCCCTTTGTGTCCACTCTAAGATTGTCAAAAAACACCACAGTACTTGCATTATAATCTGAGGCATGTAGAATAGGAAGCTATGCTGAGCCTTAAATCAACCTTGATATTATCATTATCAGGCTGATACAGGGGGTGGGGGAGGGTGCCACTGCTGTCATGGGCACAACAGCATGCATATAGGAAGCCAAGAGACAACTTTCCAACTTGGAGTTTTACAGACTCCTGACTGAGGACCCCACAGCACAGTACCTGAAGGAACTAAAAAAAACCTCTTAAAAAGCTATCTCTGGAAATACAAGAGAGAATTAATGCTTCTACTTCCCAGGAGCCTAGGCCAGGCAAATTTTGCTTACCATTTTGGAGTCATTTTATTCAGCTGCTATTACAGGTCTCCAAATATAAAAGGTTTATGGGTACCAAATTCATGATCTATTAAAAGAAATAAGGAATCCAGAATTTTTTCAGAAAGAAAAGGCCTTGTTACACAGTAACTTTGGGTAGCTCCTGGAGGTTTTAACCCAGATTATCTACACATTAACACTTGAAACTAGTCCTAAACACTCATTAGGCAGTTCAAAGTTATGCAGGATTATCTCTGATCCATGTTGCATATCGTGTGTTACACTAAGGTGCAGCCATTCAAAGAAACAATTTAAGGAATAGGGGCAAATCCTGGACTCCAGTCCATTCTACAGGATTGTTAGTGCATTTTACATTAAACAATCATTGTTTAAAAACAGAAACAATGGTAGCCTGTATCAAAAACTGCAGCAAATGCAGGGGAGTGGCTTCATTAGACCCTTCCACTCATAAACAGATATGTTTATCTGCATTTAAAGAGCCTGTCTTTATGTAAATAAATATGCCATAAAGTCCCATAAGAAAACACACATGGTCAGGCCTTGTAGAACAAAATAATTTGACAGCAAGCTTAACTGTTATGTGGAGGCTTCCTTTTGAATCGCAGGTTCCTCCGGTAGTGCAGGTTTGCAGCAGTAAGTCTTGTGTTCTCCCCTCGTCCTGGTCTCTGAGAAGGCAGTCAGCTATAGGAAAGAAGCAGCATGGCCAGGATGTATATTTCTTAGCAGTTACTGGGTGCCTCTATATGTGCTGTTAGTATGGAACAATAAACTGCAGTGCATATCGTGCCAGAGTTTATTACTCCTGGGAGCCTCACTTACACATGCACCCAGGACTACAACACATTAATTCATGTTGGAGCAGGCCAGGTTGGCAAGGAGACTGGGGGGTCAGCCAGCCCAGGGCTGCTCTGACCCAGCTCAGTATGCTGCGGAGGGGCTGGCTGGGGCACAACGGTGCTCCAATGCAGGGGTAGCTGGCAGGCAGCTAGTAGTCTCATGCCCCAGCCAGCCCCATCAGCACCTACACGCATGGAGGAGATTAGTACTCAGCAGGAGATTAGTAGTTATATTTACAAATACGAACCTGTGGCAGACTTAATTAGTTTCCGGTGGTCTAATAGGTCTGCACGTGTAGATACTGAGACTTTACTGCAGAGCTAATTAGGCAGCTCTGCAGTAAACATCTTGTGTAGATTTGCCCACTGACTATCAGAATGATCCTTTGGGACTAAAGGAAGCTAAGAATAGGGTATCTCGGTAGCTACTGTATTCTAAGGTGGGGGCTGGATTATTAGAGAGCTCCGGGACTGAAACATGGATTTAAAGATGCCTACTAGGACACACACGCCTTCCTGATCTGGGACAACTGAACATGGTTAGTTCCTTATTTGAAATTCAAGGTTTTCAATCTGACTTTTAAAAACAAATTCAGATTCATGATACCTCAATGTCTGCTTTGGCACTTGAAATCATTCAGGATATTTTTGTCCTTCAACTTGTCCAAAATTCATTAGATAGGATTTGCGAAGCAGTCTGCTTTCTGGTTGCTACAAACACCACCATATTTATCTGATTTAAGCTAGGGATTCAGGCATTCTTAGAACACATGAGCTATGATTTTTAATAAAAAGCCTGCCTGCTGTTATCTTATGGGACCTGGCTTAATCATTGCTACAGTATTTCATCTGTCCTGTGTAATGCCTGGAGCTAAAACAAAATCTTAAAACACAGAACTTTGAAGAAATTCATCAGCCATGTCTCATCCCTGCAGAGAGCTTTAGTTTCAGTACTGAATAATTGCCAGTTGTGAAAGTCATATGTTTCACCAAAAGTTAATATAAGCAGAGGAAGGAAATGCAAGCCCAGTTTCCAAAGCTATTCCATCAAAAATCCATATTATTTACTTTCATAGTATATTGCCAATTACATTTAAACAGAAGTTAAACAATATGAAGCCACATACAGGATGTCATTGTGTTACAATTAGCATGTGTTAACTCTAAGGAATGTTAGGTGGTGTTAAAGTTAGCACATCCTGTGAATACTTGCATGTTAAAGGTAAATACCTGCTCTAATGTGCACTGCTCTAAACTTCTGCTAGAGGGCTGGTGAGCAGGGGCTTGACTTGGAGCTTCAAATCTGTTCCATGCCAAGCAACAATACAGGGCATTCATAAAGTCCTTGAGTACAACCTAAGTTATTAAAGTTTAAAAGTGCACAAGGACTTTATGAAGACCCTGTACAGATTCCAGAATCAGGCCCCCCTCCTGCCCTGGATTGGGCCCTGTTACCCCTGTGCTGGCTTAGATTGGGCCCCCATGCACCAGACCCCTGCCCTTCCTACTCTCCCCTAGTTTCTTGTTCCCCACTTTCTTACAGGGAAGCAAGGAGCTGAGCTCAGCCCAGAATGGGAGCAGCAGCAGGGGAGAGGTTTCCCTCCTGTGCCTGCTCCTGGGCTTCTGTAGTCCGCACATCCCCGTACGCCTGGATCCAGCCTGCAGATACTTGCCAGGCCTCCCAGTGACTGCTTGGCAGCTCTCTGTGGGTGAAGGGCATGAGGAGCTGCTGGGCAGTCCTAGGAGTGGGCCCAGCAGATGAGCAAATAGCTGTGAGGCCCAATGGGGGCACATAGGCTGGATCCAGGTACATGGGGAACTGCTCGGCCCACCCACCTGTCTTTTACAGCTGCCCAGAAGCTCCATGCCCGCTAAACCCCATCTGCATGCCCCACCTCCTGTCCCTCTCCCACCTCCCACATAACAGCCCCACCCACCTCCTATCCCCTGTTGCTGTGGTATAGAAGAATTGTGGACAGATATAATTATTCTCATTTAAGCGTGATTTAAGTATATTAAATTCAGCATTTCATTAATATGCCAACATTCTTATTTAAATAATATGGTATAACACTTAAAGTGCCTTTTTTTAGACTCAGCCTAAAAACTGATAATGGTTGGGAAACAAATCATGAAGGTGATGAAAATAATATACACTTTTTTTTTTCTTTTTCCTTCTTTTTTTTTTGATATTCATTAGTTAATTAGTTGAAAATAATATAGGAGGTGTTCATGTAAATTTCCTAGTCATAAAATATTTCAAGTGGAAGCCTGGAGAAGACCTCAAGAGATCATCTAATCCATCCATCTAATCAAGCAAGATCAAGTGTTCATAAACAATCCTGAAAAGTACATCTTACCAAGTCTTGAAAAGCTACGATGACAGGGATCCTACACATCCCTTCCCACTCCCTCCCACTATCTAACCCCAATTCCTCTTGATGCAATTAAGATGATCATTTTTGTCTTATTCTCAGTAGCTATATTGAAAAATTTATCAGTGTTCTCTTTATAATAATTTTTTACATAAGTGAAGGACCCTATAATGCTCCTCAGCTGTCTCTTTATTAAGATAATCAAACCCAATTCTGTCAATATCTTTCAGCATCTATTTTCTAAACATTTTACCATATTTGTTTCTTTCCCCTAGACTCATTCTAATTTGCTATGCAGGCTGAAAGGTTAAGACATTTTCACTGGAAGTGTGGTATTTTGCTGTTTTGCTGCTCATCAATTGGCCTATTCATTACTTCTCTAGTAAATCTTTTTGTTATCCAACCACAGTGAAAACAGTGTTACAAGACTAACACCGTAAATGAGGAGTCATAGTGGAGCTATAGTGAACACTTCACCAAACACCATTTGCATAAAGTATTTGGTAGATATTTAAGAATAAGGAGAACATTTAAAGAAATAGAAATATTTCTTGGTGAGTTAAAGTCCAAAAAAGTTAATGCACTTGTCAAACTCATGATTTGAGAAATAGTATGCTACCAGCAAGTTGCACAAATGTTTAGAAGAGAATAGGTATATGTTTGTGCATGCATTCACATATACATGCAGGCAGAGAAGTTCCAAATGGATATACAAGACAATTAATATATAATAAAGGTATTGACAGTGAACAGCTTGCTGAACCTAATAGTACTTTCTCTCTAGTGCAAGCCAACATGCTGATTTTCATTAGCATTATAATATCTGCTTGGTAAAGAGAGGCTAGGGCTGAAACTGGTATATAGTTTCTAGGCCCAAAAAATGGTTAGTACAAAAGTTGTATACATCCTCCTCCTTCTTGCTGCTTTTTTATGACTCAGTCTTAAGAGTAAGGTGATGGTATGTTACAAAAAATTCAAGAGTTTGAATGGGGTAGAATAGAATCATACTTAGGCAGCTTATAGCTAGAACAGAATCCTGTCCAGTATGTCTTATCTACTAGCATATATGTAAACATATAGTATGTGTATTTATAAAAATGACTGCATTTGCAAATAATGTCATGTGCTAATCCTACATACTTTTATTCTTGTGTACATACTTTTATACTTAAGTACATGACTGCAAGTGTAAGTCCCGCATTTGTCTTGACAGAGGCCACAGCATTCATTCCTTTACAGGACTGATTGCATGCCTAAGGTGCTGACATTTTAGCCAGTGTATCTCAATAGTCTCTCAGTCTAACCTGTTAGTTTAAGCTGCACTCCTATCAGCAAAATGTATCATTCTTTATTACACCTGTCTCAATGGCAGAATATTCATGATGCACCACATTTAAAATCCAGTTTAAAAGATTTCATGAACTACTTGAACCAGGACGTAGAAACTGACACTTGGTCTTCAGGTGTTCCTATATGTTTAGACACAATTGAAAGAAAAAATCCTTACCATTTCTACTGCTAAAACGGTGGCGCTCCATATTAGATAGCTACTTGCAATTATAGTTTCATAGTTTCTAGGGTCGGAAGGGACCTGGGCAGATCATCTAGTCCGACC